TCTCCAATTTGTTGGTGTCTAATCTTACGACGTTTCTGAACGATCTCATTGACCAGTGTGAGAAGGTTACGTGACGGCCTTGGTCATCAACAGTTCTTAGTTCGATCGAGGTCATCATTTATTTCGTCCTTCCTGGGATATGTTGTCTTCTCTGCCATTTATCCAGCTATTAGATCAAGTCTTGAATCTTAGTTGTTTTAGTAAGTGTAAGTGTTTTGGTGAAAATAGTATAGGTTTAACGCCCCTATCAACACTTTTAGGTTATTTAAAAGGCGGGACCTCCGAGTTAAACGTCCATCTCTGTAAGCGTTTTACGGTCCATGCAACACAATAAGGTCATATAAGTACCGAAGATTAGATGTGTTACAAAAGAGTAACAAACACAAGCAAGAAGGAGGAACGATTTATAAGACGATAGAGATGTTTGGTAGGAAAGAAGCAGCGAACCACATCAGAGCACCCGCCAACCATCTACATGTATTCTTCTCCTTCATGTGTCAGGACTGAAGCTGACACTTTGAGTGGTTAGCGGGTGCTCAGGTGTGGCTTGTTCCTCTTTTCCCTTTCAAACATCTGTCGTCCATATCTCTCCTCCTTTTGTTATGTTTGTTACTCCCTTGTAACCCCTCTAATCGTTGGCACTTATACAGTCGACTACGGATAGGTTAATGTCGTCGGGGGGTGGATAAAAAAGATCAACTCATCCGAAGTTCGACTTAACCTTTGGGTTCTGTAAAGAAGAGGTGCTGGGACCAGAGAAAATGATCGACTCGACCGAAAAACAGCTCAAGCGAGTTCAACAGAAGCGGAGTCGACTGTATGACCTAATTGTGGTGCTAATGACTCCCTTACGAAACAAAGCAGACATTGACGATCATTGTACACTATCATACTCCTTCCTGCTGTCAGTTCTCTTGATCTGCTCCGTTTATCTCAGACTGAGTTGTTTATTGTCATAACAAAATTATTCAGGCCGTCTGTGCGTGGTGTTCTCTGTCTTTCCCTCCCCCCCCCTCCCCCACCTTTCTACCCTACCATTTTGTGTATCATCGTCAAGTGCCAGATCGGCGACAGACATAGGCGATCATGGTTCTCCTTTTTTTCCTTTGCTCGGATGCTAAAGAGAAAGCTACATTATCCTGATCTTTTCGTGTCACTGTCGACCTTATCTCTCATCCTCTTTTTCTTTGTATGTTACTCTCTAGTAACACTTCTAACTTTCGGCACTTACATGACCTATTTGTCTTGCAATTGCTGATACATTGAGCATCTGGTAGGTCGCACTTCTTTTCTTACCCTCCGGTACTTCTGAAGGTCTGTCTTACTATTTCCCAGCACGAAATGACCATGATTGTGTCAATGTGTTTCTCTTTACTCAAACAAACAAACAAACAAAAAACAAGTGCCGTAGAACTCTATTAAAATTATACCCTTTCAGACGGCGTTCGGTGGCGTCGGTATCCTAGTGGTTAGTCTTCTTCTTCTGTCCCGTGGTTGGAGCAACCGTGGGGGCACCACTGCTTCTGACAACCAGCTCTCGCCATTTCTCCTTGTCCTCTGCTTTCCTCAGATTGTCACCCATCGTCTTCCCTGTCCACCCTGTAATGTTGTTCTCCCATCTCCTTCTCTGCCTTGCTCTCTTTTTGTTTCCCTGTACGGTTAGTCTACCGGACTCGTAATCGTGAGATTATGGGTTCGGGGTTTCGAGCCTCAGCGCGGCTCGACGTCGTGTCCTTGGGAAAGGCACTTTACTCGAATTTCTCACTCGGCTGTTTTTTTCTGAGATGGACGTTAGAACTCGGGAATCCCGTCTCTTAAA